CCTATATGTGCCCAGGGTTTTCATGACCTCATTACTTCTTTTGCAAACATTTAAAAAAACCCCAAACATCAAACTTCAATTTTTGTGGCTTAGTCTGCTTTTGAGAAATTTGCTTCTAGACTTGTCTTTTTTGTAGCTATCCAGTTCTGAAAAAGATGAGTGGTTTTGATTTCACCTAATAAAAGGAAATCAAACATATCTTCCTTTTTTGGATCATTGTATGCCCTGTAAGTGCTTTGTATTGCGTGCTTCAGAAGAACATGAGAGACATCACCAGTGGAGAGTTACAAAATGGTTTTGCTATAAAGGGAAAGATCATCCTTTTGAAGTGTGACAAAAAGTGAGTTTGTGGTCTTTTGGGAAAGTAGAGGAGATAAAATGGGTTGATAGAGTTATTTTGAAATCTTAATTGTAGTGTTATTTGTCAGGCTGAAATAGACCAGCTGTATTCCCGTCTAAGAGTCTGCAATCATTTTCAAAGTATATTCCTTGTCTGCAAGGTGCTGAGGATCTCATCTGTCCTGAAGTTTGCTGGAAAGTAAACTTGTTTTACAATGCCTTAACAAAAGGAATGATGAAGAGTCCTTGTTTTGAGAGAAGAATAGCCCTATTTGGCTGACAGTACAGATATCACAAGTCTGGTGAATTGAGCTCTTTGTCTGTCTTTATATAATCCATACCAAATGGACTTGAATGACCCATGCTACTATAAAGGTGGAAGCAGATTAAGGGAGATGTAATTCTGGAAATTAAACAAAGTAGAGGTTCATTTTGATGAACCTTCAGGTTTATTACCATCCTGTATCTTTTCCAGTGAATAACTTCTTTTTCTTAATATTCCCATAATTCTGTTTCTCGGACTTTCTTCCTTATAATTCATAGGCTGTAGGCTTTTTTGTCTGTCCCTTTCTTTAAATATTGTCTCTCTGTTTCTCAGTACATATGCTTATAAAACTCATGTTTCTATATTATGTGGGTTTTTTTCTTTTGAGGGAAGTATGGAACTTGACATAGAATCAGCAGTGATTACAAATAAAGCTAAGGAAGTACTATTTGTGTCTCTGCCAGCCTCTTACTGCAGAGACATGCTGCATCCTGCAACAGAATACTAGAAATGTACATCATTGCTAAAAGCTGCCAACAGGAATCCCAGATTTTAGCTAGACAGCATCCAAGCCAACGCATTTGCAGAATACCTCTTTAGACACTCTGTTTTCTTAATTTGCTATTACCTTTCTCACTTCCATCTTTGTGTGCTTGTTGTTTGAGAAAATTGGGAAGAGAATTGCTGACAGCATGTTGTAAGGGAGGCAGTCTGTGTAAAGAATGTTGTGGGTTTTATCGTGTTCAAGATTTATTGCAGCATTGAAATTATAGCATACTGCAGAAATGCCTTTTTTTTTTTTTTCCAAATATTTTAAAAAACCCCGAAACTTCAAACTTCAATTTTTGTGGCTCTTTTTCATCTAGAGGCTCTGTGCTTGCATTCCACCCTGACTGGAATTTTAGCACGCTGTTAGACTTTAGTACAGCATAAGACAGGCCAGAACTTTTTCAGGCTTTTAATTTCAGGAGGCATACTTAGAAAGAAATTGTCTGAGAAAAAGCTGTTGTTGCAATTGCTAAGATCTGTGCAGAAGCAGGGTATGTTTCTTTGCTGTTTGAAAGAGTGGTGGTTTTAAAAGTTGGTATTCTTCAGGATGACAGAGGGGCACCACAGAACAAATACTTCGGTTTGAGTGCATGCATGTATTCATATTAACTCTCTTTTATAGCTAGTGCACAGAAGGGAGGAGGAATGGGGTAAATGACAACTGCATTAAAATGGAAATTAAGTACTTTAAGTGGAAGGTTCTTTCTGTTTCATTATTTCCACAGAAGTAGGTTCTTCTGAAGGAAAAGAGAAAAACAGCCTTATTTTTGGCAATCTTGTAAAGGAATCCAGATATTTAGAAAGAAGAAGAGTTGTGGTTGAGTACAAAATACTGAGAAGAGGTTATTGTTGGTATTTCAGTGAAGATTTTTGTTTCTTTAGTATAGAAGTTCCTTTTAAGTTATTTTACTGGGTATGCATGCTTGTGCTCGTTAGGGTATTTCTTGATATATAAGCAGCCAGCTTTGAGTTTACAGTGTTATTAGTTGAAATACACTTTCAAGTGGCACGTGGTTGGATTTGTGTTTATACATTTAAGATAGGATATAATGAGCTAGAGCGCATTAGGGGCCTGCTCATTACAGGCAGTCTACAAACAAATAAGATATTCTTTACAGTGTGTTATTTTACTGGGCTAAAATCAATTATTTCCATTGATTTCCAAAACTGGAAGATCTTTTCCATGCATGGGAGATAATCCTTCAAAGCCACAAACAATATTTAGTGATACAGTTAACTAGTACAGAGCATTGTTTGCAGTAAATAACCAGTTAGCTTCTTGGAGTTTCTTGCCTGTAGACATAGGGGGTTTTAGATTTCATTTTTAAAAACAAAGGTATCGTTGCTAAGGTGCAGATTCCTATCTCCTGTCAGCTTTGAGGATTTGTCAGGGGACACACTGTAAAGGATTGACCCATGTCCATACATTTAACATTGAGTAAAAGCACAATAATATAGATAATGAAGGAAGATTATTCCAAAAATTGTTAAATGTTTCTGATTTAAATTTGATGGCATTATTTCTAGCTGGAAGAACTATGAAACGCTACAGTTATCTGTATGAGGAAAAAGGCAGTGTGCAGAAGAAAGCATGAAGAGATGTTACTCCAAGAGTGCCCCATGCATGGAATTCTCACTGTATTTTAGCATTAGGGGTAAAAACTAAAAAAAAAACAAAACCAAAAAAACCCAAACCCAAAACATGTTTAGATTTTGCTCATTGAGCATTATGTTATAGACTTAGATGTGGCCATCAACTGCCTGTGGACAGAGATAACGTTTCTCTAGGAATAACAGCCAGTTTTTGTGAGAGGCTGGGTGTATGGGTACAATTTTTTGATTTGGACCCGAGGTGCCATCTGCCAAACTGAGCAGCTGTGGGATATGTAACTTGTAGATGGTCCTACATGATGATATGAGGTTCAGAATAATAATATGCTGGGTTCCAAATGCATTTTATTACTTTATTCATGCTTGTAGTTTGCTCAAATCAATCTATCATTAAACTCCCAATCCAACTGTATCCTGTTAATTCCCTGGTTAACCAAAAAAAGTCTCTCCCTACCATTTTTGAAAGATTTTTTTTCTTTTTCTTTTTTTTTAACCCCAAGTTACTTTATTGAGCAGCTGATAGTGTGGCTCCTCAAACACAATGGCAGAACTGACAGCCAAGGGTGATGCTGTGACATAGGAGGAGGAGTAAGTAACTGGTGGAGGGTGCAGACTCACTCAGACAGAATTGCTGCTAGAGGCTCCATTGTGAAGTTATCCCCAGGTCTCAATATGTTGGAAACTTCGCTTATAGAAGATCCAAATGGGTCTTAATTCTAATAAGCTTTAGCATTCTATGTTGTCTGAATTCTTTAAGGCAAGGCTAATGCTTGACAGAATTCCTCACCAGTACATCACCAGCTTGCGTCCAGCTCAGATCAGCATTAATTAAAAGTTGCTCTTTGGTGGCTTCTACTGCATAATGGTTGTCCTTTGCCCTCTTCTGTCACTCTTCATCTTCTAGTGGCTGACAGAATAAGCAGAGAGACCCAGAATGATATGAATTCTGGAAATTGAACTGCCTTTTTAACACTAGGGAAGCTTGTCATTAAATTCAGACCTCAAAGTAGAGTTTTAGTGTATTAACTGAAGTTACTAGTTTGTAATAATTGTTGTTAAGAAAGATAAGAATATACACACAATCACGTCATGTAGTAAGTCATTACAGTTTACTACATGGATGGCTGCAGTATTTAATAATACACAGTAATGCAGTGCAGTTCATTACAAAACATACAAGCAATTGAAATTACTGAAGAAATTTGTCTAAACAGAATACAGTCATCCAAGTTATGATTACCCAAGATACAAGTTGTTACTCTAGCAAGACATTGGTTCATCTTTAGTCGTAATAGTTGATTGTAATATTGGTTTCAACTCCTACTGAAAAGTTTTAAGATAAATCCTCACACAGTCAAAATACTTTTGGTCACCTTGCTATGCTTTGATTCCCAATGTGGGGGTTCAAACCTCACTCCAGGGTTTATGTCACATGACAAGCATAGAGTAAGTATGTTTACCTCCTGAAAAGGCAGAGAATAGTGTATGTCTGTGCAAAAGGAGAAAACAGAGGGAAGAACTTCACACACTTGAAAGCACTGCTGTTTTGTTATGTGTTAGACTTTTAAAGTCACACAGGTGGAGATCATTGGAAGACTCAATTGCGATGAAATGGGCTGGTGCCGGCTGGCAAGCGAAAGACTCTGCCCACGCGATGTCTGACTTTGTTAAAGAAATAATACTGAATTGAGCTGTCATTCCTTCCCCGGTAAGGTTTCACCTTGCTGGCCAGTTGTGATTGAACATCACAGAGGCTATCAGTCTGTGAGACGCCTGCACTTCTAAAGATTCTGAGCTGTAGGTGAGCAGGTTAAGAAAACACGTTATGTGCCTTTACTGATGCAACAGTAGTAGCATTAAGCCTGACTTCTAGAATGCAGCAGGCAGCAAGGTGGATAGAGAGCTGGCAAAGGGGTTTGCTCCTATTAAATAGCAACCAGCTCCGAGGCGACGACTCGGCGGAAGCCAGCTTCCCTACCTCTCGCGTTTACCGAGCCGGCGTTTGCGAGGGGCGCTGCCGCGGGCCCGGCCCCTCGGGGCGGTGCCGGCTAAGGCCCCTCGCTACGGGGGGGCGCAGATCGCGTTCGCTTCCCTTCCCCGCGGAGCTCTGCTCCCGGCTGCGAAGGACGGGCCCGGCCGCTCGCTCGCAGCCCAGGACTACAGCTCCCGGCGGGCCCTGGCGGCGGC